GCCTTTATTACAGGCCTGAGCCCCCCGGTGCCTGGGCCGCCTTCATTTCATGCCCCTCTATTCACGCAGCACTAATCTTACATTTGGTTTATTAGTAGCATTGCCTTGTATTTCTGTACTGACACAAAATACATATTACTACATAGGATGCTACTGGGCATATTACAAGCCATGCGCTGTTTTGCTGGTGAACGTCCCTTTGTTTTTCCCATTGCTTTCTGCCGCTCATCCTGCTGGATGACACCCTCCATCACTTTCCTAGTTGAATTGAATGTGTTGAAGAAATTAACATTTCTGTGCATCATGTTTGTTCAGGGCTCTCTCTCCCCGAGCCCTGGCACGGGTCCCGGCGTGTGTCCCTCAGGCCTGCGTGCACGAGTCCTGCAAGCGCACCCTTAGAGTTGCTCAACCTGAGGATTCATGCCTGTTTACCCATTTTAGGTTTATCCATTTATGTTACAAATTGCTTGTGTCTGTTTTCTTGCAGGAGGAAGGAGAGGTCTTCCTTAACATTTTTACTAAAATTTTGTGTTGTCCAACTTTAATGTTGAGTAATCTTTTGGGTGACAATGGGAATTTTACTGGTTGTTTAAGCACTTATATTCTAATTATTAATGGGGCTGAATCTTTTGATCTTTCTTTATTTACTTTTCTCACTGCTGAGACAAAGTCCCTAACATTCTAAGTGACAGGAGGAAAGGTTTATTTCCGTTCATAGGGTGTGGCGGTTTCAATCCATAATCAACTGGCACAAAAAAAGCTGGCTGTTGTGGCAGAGGGCCAAAGGAGAAGCAGTTCACAGCAGAGAGAAGGCGGCAAAGGCAGCAAGCCACGAGGGAGAATCCCAGCTCTCTGTCCCTTGCATCTCTTCCCTGGGGGCGGGTGGCTATCCCACATGCAATCCCAGCATCAGGCAGTAAGTGAATCCCAGTTCCTCACCCCTCCTCACAGCGGCTCTTATGGTGTCTAGATGCTCCCAAAGCCTCGTGGAGTCATTCAGCTTTTATTGAAAGTGCTGAATCCAGAGTGTGTGACTGATTCCTAGTGGAGTGTTGGGATTAAGCTTGCTGGGTTAAGGGTGGGTGGTTGCTAGGGCAGTCCACTCACTGGACTGGCACCATCATAAAGCCTTAGACTGGATACCACACGGGACAGCAAGAAGCTTGTTCCCCTCGCTCTTGCTGCCTTCCTGTCTGCTGCATGAAGTGCTTCTCTGCTGTGACACCCGCCTTGCGCTCAGCTGATTATGGCCTGAGCCTCGTATGAGCTGAGAGCCAAATGAGCCTTTCCCCCTTTAACTTGGGTTGTCAGGTGTTTTGTTAGAGCAATAAGAAAATGATTAAGAGAGAATTATACCCCTAGACCCAGCTTGTGACCACCTGAGGCTTTGGGGGACCCCTAAAGCCCTGCCATAAGCTGGTCTCAAAACAAATCAAGAAAAAGCCTGGAGCTATAGCTCATGGGGAAGGCCCTAGGTCCAATCTCTAGTACCAGGACAAACAAACAGAAACAGACTGCCAAGGAAAGGAACTATGTAGTAGAAAAAGGTTAAGAATGTTGACAGAAATACCAGAATTTCTAGCAATTAAGAATGTAAACTTCAGGGTCCAAGATGCAGCTCCAAGATGGGATGGTGTCTTAGCGTGTGTAATGCCTGGATTTGATCCCAGCTCCACAGAAAGGATGAGAGAGGATGTTACTGGGTGGCGCTGTGGGGGACCACAGCTGCACTCCCAGCACTTGAGAGGCTGAGGCAGGTACAAGGCCAGCCTGGGCTGCGTGCCCAGAGACTGTCTCAGTGGAGAGAA